GAAAACAAAAGATTAGTATAAAGGCAAAAGGTGAATCTTCTCCAATAGAAAAAAATAGAATAACCAATTCTTCCAAAGATAATACATCTAGACGGGAATCTGATCTTAAAAAATTAATAAAAAATACTAAAAGATTAGCTCCTATTCTTCCATCTTTGTCTCAGTAAGTTGAGAACATCTTTCTGCAAGAGCTTTATCTGCTTTTAAAGCCATATCAAGCCACTCTTCAGTCTTTATGAGTCGCTTTTCAAGTTCATCGCATTTTTTTTTAAGTCTTCCTTATTAGTTGAGCTAGATGAAATTTGGGCTGAATCATTCGGGGAGGATTCCTGAGGGACTACCTTCTGCTCCTCTTTTGGCAGATCCTTAGCTACTAGAGCTTTGTTATATGTTGGAATAGCATAGGTCTTTCCATATAACTTCATTTAGAATTGATTTTTATTTGGATCAAGAATACCTTGAACTTTATGTCATACCTAAACAAAGCATTGGTTCGGGCTCACCATTATCAATACGTGCAAAATTCCCTGAAACTGTAACTGTTTTTCCTGCCTTATCTTTTATAGAGATTGGAACATCTGTAATCCATCCCAATGATTCAGTAATATGTTTCGAATTGTCACTCTTTATAGCAAAATCAGATTGTTTATCATTTTTCCATTCAAGCATTTCGATAGTTGCATTATTAATAGCACTGAATTCGCTACCCAGATCTAAAAAACTATTAGAGATCGTTAAATCATTTATATTGCTATGCAGATATTGTATTGATGAGAACCACTCATTGGTTTCTTCATGAGACTGGTTGGATTTACATATTCTTTGCATTGCTGGTGATAACGAATTCATTAGTTGATCATAAGTTTTTGGTATTATATCTTTTCTAGTAAGTGCACTTTGTGCATTAATATGAGACTTATTATCTACTAGTAATACTTGTTTTTTTTTTCTAACTGAGATGGAGCATGCTATATATTATCTTCCTCATTATATCCACCTTCACTATTCTCAATATCATCTGAATTGAGAGATGCATATTGGGATTGGGAAGGTATTAGAGGAGAAAAGTATTGATGTGTTGAATTTGATTTAGCTACTGGTTTTTTGGATTGATTATCAAGTATCATCCTTCCGAATTGAGATGTCAGTTGACCGATTTCATCTACTTTCGATTCTATTCTATCTATTCTAGCATTTTTATTTGATGAACGTAATCACTCTAGTTTACTTGCTATAGAAGGAGGGAAAGCTTTATCTAACCACTGTAGCGCTTTTTCTCTAGAAAGATTTAACTATCTAGGATCCCTTGATCTGCATAAAATTAATGTATTTGTTCATGATCTTTGGGTGAAACTGGATGATGAGATTTTTTGGGTTGTTGACTCATTTTTGATTCGAACTCAGCTTTCAATTTTTCCATCTTGGCTTTATGTTTAGTATCCTGTTTATCAATTATAGCTTGAAATGATTTTTGCATTTCATTATATGAGAGGAATACTGGTTGCGAAACCATAGGTTGTAGAATATTGCTAGCAGGCTGTGAACTTTGAACATTGTCATTTTGCTTTGTGAATGATTTTTT